CTCAGACACCCGTAATCGTACAACGGACAGGTGTTGCACTGCTGACTTTGCGGACCTATTCCTGGGCCAGAATCCGACTGAGGCGTCTGCGGATCGGAGTCGCTCGGAATTACGGGACCAGGGCCGTGTGGAAAAATGGGGGGATTGGGAAACAAATTAGGAGGGCCAGGTTGACACGATGCTACATGTGCGAAACAAACTAGAGCCTGAAACAAATGTCACTATGGCAAAGAATTGCAGAACAGGCAAATGCATACCAAGCCAACAAGCAACATGATCTTCACCACGGATTCGGCCGGAACGGAACGTACAAATTAAACATTCGTCACATCTCGCTTTCTTATTTATTAAATACCAGTATATCAGTACATTTGCATAGTTGATGTGGTCTAGTTATTTCGTCCTTTCCTGTACGTACGCAATATACCTCGGCAAGATAAGGCCGGTGAGAATGCAAAGCGGATGACTACGTGTTTTTCGTACAAGTTCGATCGTAATCTTGGCAATAGACGAATGCAGGTATAACATACTCTGAGATAATCACTGAGTCGTGGAATTCCGTTGATAACAGCACACACACGAATTGATACAAACTTCACGAATACACAGAACTCTACAATCTCCACACCTCTGAGAAAAGCTATTCACAAAAAAGAAAACATCTCAATCCGTAGCTTGTTGTCAAGGTCTCCTGTATATCTCTAAGCAAGGGGCAGTGGTGCGACTACACCGTACAAATCCGATGAAGCTACGTGATATAGATCTGACCGGAAACTGCCATTTTAACAGTCGTACCATAACATTGGAGTCATTTCGTGGTGTATGATGTAATGTATCAGTATCACATGCATTGCTAAGACTCCGTTGGCTGCTTCTAGTTAGGCTGATGTGCCTGATTTAGAACTCAAAGGCACCAGCAGATGTACTGTTGAATAATTAACTGAGGCACACTAAACAGCGGCGCCTAAAACGAATAATATGTTTCGTTACTTTGAACTTGCTCTAGTGTTTGATGTTTAGTAGAATACCATAATAATGTCTGAAGGTCAACACTTTAGACAGTCGGTTTTCTTGCTTGGAAGATAAGAATGTGTCTGTCGATCATGTCGTTTTTTACTGTATCCTGGCTATGTTGGTTATTGGAATGAGGACTGCCACTTCCGCGAAGTTCCGAGCTTTCCGGCGTGATTTTCTCAATTTGCATGGTAGCCGGTCCTTCGTTCTTCAGACAGCAACGTCGAGGTAGAACCATGTGCGCTCCAAACAGGTTTGTCATGAGTTATTCAAATCTAAAGTCCAATTGGGAATGTAATATGCAAATAAGACTCTATATATTTGGCTCGACGTCTTAACCCCTGATTTTGGCACCTCTTCGTCGTTGGAGGAAGAAGAAATTTTGCAAAGTTGTAGG